GTTTTCATAATCTAATTTCTTCCTCCTGATTACCCCTTTTGTTACTTGCTGCCATTCTTTATAATATGGCACATCATCTGGTTTGCCACTCACCTTTGCCCAATGATATGCTTTAAGTTTGATGCTTTTCTTAATTTCTTTACTCAACCAAGAATATTGAGTCCTTCTCTTGAAAGTTTTCTTTATAATAAGGACATACGTATTCTGAAATATCTCCTTGAATGGAGAAAAATAAAAAAACTCTTTTCAATAACAAGTCATTTTTAAGGACAAACATATCCCAATACTAAAAGCACTGCATATTATGTGCATGTCGCACAAGGGATGCCTGGGTATTAAACACACAATACAGCTAGATTGTGAGTCCGTGTATGAGCCAGGAATGAATCAGAATATTCAATAACTCTTGAATGCATGCGAGGTCTGACAAATGCATCAATCCCAGCAGTGGAAGTAGCTTCCACACCTACACAATGTTCCATCCACTCCTTGGATGACCGTACTAACAGACTTATTGACAGTGCACAGGGAAAATTACATCCTTGTGACTGATTACTTCTCTAAACTTTCCATTGTTTGAATTCTTAGCAACACAATGAGCACAATTGTCGCTGACATAATGAGAGTTATTACCAGTTTATTTGATGTCCTGGATCAGATATTGTTTGACAATGGATTATATATTACAGTATCAAATCACTTCAAGACATGTGTACAAGTGGAGAGTGACCTATATTAAATCATCATCCACTATCATGTTCAAAGGACCTAGCAGAAAGAATGGTACATGTTATCAAATCAATGAACATTGAGTGTCAGTGGTTGCTGCAACACAAATGGGGAAGGAATTACTATCCCCAGCACAGCTTATGCTCGGTAGGCAAGTATGAACAACTGAAACCAGCAATGAAATTGTTTAACAATTCTGAGACATTAGGCATTCTTCTTTAAAGACAGAAGAGAATAAAAGAGATACAGGATGACCAAGCAGGTAGAGAATTACCAAAACTGCATACTGGGCAGAACGTATTTGAGAAATCCAAATACATGCAGATACCAGCAAATGTTTCTAGATATGTAACTAATTAAATGAAATCACTGACCATGGTGCAACATTATAAAGGAACAGGAGCTAGGTCAGATCATTGCATGATACACCAAATCAAGTACAAAAAGATTGAGGGAGTACTCCAATAATAATGATTAGGTGGTGATGTGAGTCACAGCAACCAGCATTAAGATAACAGAGTTCTAAAAAAGTGCAGAGAACACCACATACCTCTCGATGTGGATAAATAATCACCAGATGAGGATGAACTATAAAACATCTAAAGCCTTATAATGAAGTTTGAAACACTGGTCTTGCAAACTGCGTTTTATCTGTTTGCATAATTATTAAATTGGCAGCACATGACTGTTTAAAACCCTTGTGTCTCTATTCAGGATAATTTTTATCTTTGAGAATAGGTTATGTTGTGTAACGTTTCACAGTCAGTATGTTTATGAGAGACATACATTTGGTATTACCATTGTAACAAACACGTCACATGGTCCAGCTTACCTTGGATGATGTGAAACATGACATGCTACTGCAAACTGTTGTAAATGAAAAGCTTAATATTAGCCCAGACACTTCCATATCTGAGGAATGTAATATTTGTACATAATGATTGATTATAGTAAACATGCATTGTATTCTTCAATACCACAACATCAATATTAGGTTTATATTCTGGAAGATAGCATAAGCATTGTCAAATCAGTTTAAGAAACAGTCTTGTAGAGGCAAATACACCAGCTGTTTTCAAAAGGGGTGGGGTGTGGTGGGGAGAGAATTAGGATAATTATCAGGGATGCGATCGGCCAAATGGTTAGCCAAAGAGGATCACAGCAGCAGACTGGAAGCGGGCTGCTTGCTCAACCTGTCACCATAGAAACACAATGGGAAGAATCTGGGTGTGTTTGCCAGGGTGACTGGCTTCCTCCAGTGACTATATGTCAATGATGTTGAATGTCAACTAGCTAGTCAAATGGGAATAGGATAATCATCTGAAAATATTTGTGTGCCTAACGGGAACGGGCAGTGGGAGTGGGACCAGTTAAGTTGCTTTGGCAATGGTCACTTGGGCCTGATAGTGTGTTTGCAGGTGGGACTGGGGGCGGAAAAAGATAGCACCTGAAGAGTGGTGACTTCAATGTTGGTTGGGTGTGATGTAGACAGTGTTGAAGCAGTGGAGGAGGGATGGTGATGCAGGCATCCATTGATGATGAGCTGGCTCAGGACTGGTGGACTCTCTTTAAGCGATATCTTTCTATTCTTTCCTTATTCTTAAACTGTTCAAAATGTCGCTAGATCATGGCGACTGTGGAAAAGCTTTTCACTGTATTTTACTGTTTTTCTCACTGCAAAATGCACATAACAATAAAATCATTTGTCTCATTCCTCTAAACATTGAAATACAAAATAGGGGCAGGATTCGGCCATTCAGCCCTTCAAGCCTGCTTCGCCATTCAATATGATCATGCCTGACCATCCAACTCCGTTTCCTATTCCTGCTTTCTCTTCATATCCTTTGATCACTTCAGCCTTAAGAAATATATCTAACTCTTTCTTGAAAATATTCAATGTTTGGGCTCAACTGCTTTCTGTGGTAGAAAATTTCGCAAGTCTAACACTCTCTGGGTGAAGAAATTTCTCCTTATCTCAGTCCTACATGGTCCACAGCATATAAGACCACAAGATACAGCAGAATTTGGCCATTCGACCCATCATGCCTGCGCTGCCTTATGGCTGATATATTTCTCAACCCTATTCTGATCCCTCCATTAATGAAGAACCTGCCTTAAATACACTCAATAACTTGGCCTCCACAGCTTTCTTCAGCGAGTTCCATATATTCACCACCTTCTGGCTGAAGAAGTTCCTCATCTCAATTCTAAAGGGTAGTCTTTTCACTCTGAGGCTTTGTCCTTGGGTCCTGGATTCTCCCATTAGTGGAAATATCTTCTCTATGTCTACTCTATCCATGGGTCTCAGTATTCTGTAAGTTTCAATGACATCCTCCCTCATCCTTCTAAACTTATCAAGTGAGACCCAGAGTCCTATGCCTCTGATAACCTCCAAAAGGCAAAAAACGTTTCTTCCTGTCTACTCTACGCCCACATAATTTTATCCATCTCAATCATGTCTCCTCTCAAACTCCTCTGCTCTAAAGTAAACCAACCCAGTCTGTCCAATTTCTCTTCACAACTGAAACTAAGCTGCCCAGACAACATTCTGGTAAATCTCCTCTAAACCCTCTCCAGTATTATCATGTTCCTTCTACAATGTGGATTCCAGAATATTAGCATGTAGAGCATGAACGTGATGGAAAAAAAAACCAGGAGCAGTTCAATGAGATGCAGTGGAACTGTATATTTCAGTAACTTTTTAAAACAAATTTGAAACAGTGGATTTTATTAAACATCATGCAATTGAACAATAACAAGGACATTGCATTGACAATAAAAAGTAGATTGAGCAGTGCCCTACACTACAACTTGGAACAAAACTTGAACAACACAGCACAGCATTAGAACTGTAAATCTCAGTGTCAAGTGGTATGAACATTTGATCCTCCACCTTGCTCAAGTTCTAAGCTTAGCAGTGTCTCTATTGCAGGGAAGGGCAAAAAATGCTCTGGAAGTGGAGCAACGCACCTTAATTTCAAAATGATGACATTTTGCATAGGCCTGCAACCTGACTCTTTTGATCACATAGGTATGGATCTAGATGAACTGAAAGAACTGTAATTTTAACTTTGAGGAGAAAATCATGAGCAAGGCAAATGTTGCAGCAAGCAGGTAAAGTTGACCAAATGCTACCCAAAAATACAGCCATTGTGAGTATTTTAGTCTCAACTCATCTGTGTTGTAGATTTAAGCAAACCTTCCATGTATACCACGCAAGGCACTATGAACAATGCATATACGTAACATAAATTTTAAACATAAAAAGTTTTTGCTGAAGCCGCTAGGTTTTTGGTCAATAAATAAAGATGTCGTCAAGTTCAAAATACATCGTCACTTACGTCCACAGAAGGTATCTCAACTATTTTATCCAACCTTTGGCCTGAGCAGACAGACAGCACCTACTTTACAGACAGTTCAGGCACCTTAAGAATGACTCGTGAGAAAACTCATTAAAATGTTACTTCCTAAAGCCGGAAGCACAAAATTATCTACATTTTTATAAAAGAATGTTAAAATAAACTTAAATACTTTTATAGGATTAATTTCTAAGAATCAGAGTCTCTAAGTGTTATTGTTGTTTGTTTGAATCAGCAGCTGAGATAACCTTCCTTTACGTTCAATCAAAAAAGCTTTCAAAGTAGCTGCATATTTATAGCCAAAATAAAAGGAAAACAAATATACATACTGCTCAATAAACAGTACTATAATACATGTAAGACAATGGATTGGTGACCCACTGATATTGCAAATGTACAGTACAATAGAAGAAAAAGTACATACATTAAAGTACCATAACGAAACATTACTTCCAGAAGGGTCCGTAATGTGACAAATACTTTAAACTTTAACAAGTAGTTTCAAAGATCTGATCTTGAATACACAATTTCAAAGATTTTCCCTGTACTGAATATCAGAATTGAACACATGCCTTCCTTACTTACTCAAAGCAGACTGTATGAAGAGTGAATAAGGGCTATATTTAGTAAACAATTAACAAGCAGTAGTTGTAATGTCATCATGGAATACCACAGAATGAACGATACAATTCTTCACCTCAAAAAATTAATAGCTTGTATTTTGATGTGCTAGAATGTAACAATTACTTCACACTACTTTGCGTCCCATTTTTAAAAAAAATGCATTATTGGAATTAGCCATACAACGTTATTAGTTAAGCTGTTTGCATAATTAACAAATAACAGGTTGCATTCTACAGATAACACAGCAAAACAACTGTTTGATAGCAAACATTTATAATGAATGTAGCATTCCTCATTTATCTCAAATTTTTGATACCATTTCAGGTTGTCAATTATGAAAATAAACTTTCCGATAACTCAAAAGGTCCAAAGAAGAGAAGCCAGAACTTTATATATTAATAAATGACAAATGATGTGGACACAGTTTTAAATTGATTTTAATTGGAAAATTTAACTAAGATAATGAAAGAACCTAAAGATCAAAATATACAATGTAGTGTATTACAAAAATTGCAAATCATAGTTTAGCATCTAAATACCTGCCCTCTACACCCAATAACATTGAATGCTTCTGGTTACTGGCCTTTTGAATTAAGCCTCTCTTTTAGTTTATCAAGTCTGTTGACTGACACCTGGCACTACAGTGATAAAAGTAATGATGATAAAACCTTTAAACAACAGATGAAGACACGTTAATAGCTCAATACACTGATGGAGAGGAATTTAAAGGGCTTTCAATTAGTTTCTGGTTTTGATTGATATCAATCATTTTAATTTGCTCTGGCCAAGTTAGCAAAATATCAGTCCAAAGTTTCATATTAATGCTTCTGCTTTTCTAGATATCAGTGACTTAAAGAATTGAGCTGCCTGATTATATTTCATTTCAACTGATGTGTAATCGGTACTAATTAAATGACATCTTTCAATTCTTAGATTCAAGCCAGTTTGTATTAAAATTAAGTTAACTGTAAAAAAGTATCACACTCTTCACATCATTTTAGGCAATGCATTTAGAGGAGAAAACATCAAACAATTGAAATTGAGCAGAAAGGTTTTTAGTGTTGATATTCTCAGCAAAGGTGTTCATAACGGAATGTGGAGTTTGAACACAAAGCATCTCTACAGACATTTACAAACATCTCATCTGAAGTAGGAGTTGGCTGCTTTTGGAAAAAAATATATATTTGCACCTTACTTAGGAGTATACATTGTACTGAAAGTACTCTGGGCTGCACAAATTTTATGACACTGCCATAGATTTTTAAATATATATATATACATGCTCGTGTCCCCATGACCAGGATCTGGCAACAATACATCAGTTAAACTGATTAACACATGGCTTTTTACTAGTGATTGAATGATACACGGTTTCAATTTAAAATTATTCCAAAATGAATGAAAAGATTGAAGTAACATTCATATATCATTTTTTTTCTCAATTTAAGGGGCAGGACAAGTTTATGGCACTGCAATCTTACTCAGATTGGCAAACAGGAAATGTGCTTCTGGATGCTGAGCTGCAGCACTCCAGTTCAAAATAGGCAAAACTCAGCCATTCAACCAGGCTGATCTAAATTTGAAATCCCCACTGGATCTGGAATTTAATGGTCTAAAATTGGTTTGGAATCTAACATTGCATGACACTACTGTTTTTTCCTTTTACATGACAGGGTAGGCTTCGACTTTATCATGCAGAAATTACAAAACAAAGCTGCATTATTACCTTACAGGTAAAGCATATGCAATTTGTAAATCACAAATTTAATATTAAATCAATATAGAAAAAGCAAATAATCATTGCTACATCCATTTCTTGAATAGAATTTTGCAAAACGTGTACAGACCTCAGCACAAACTCTGCAGACAAGTCGCATATTTACTGGTCGAATTATGTTTAAGGGCATCAAGAATTTTGGAAATTTTACAAAACCTTGTGTATTAGTCATATTTCAAACAATAAATATTGTGATCTATATTAGAGAAATTTTATTCCTGAAAATCAAAGCATTCTTTTTGCCTTGCCAACAACCTGCTGCTTCCATGTGGTCTTCTTTATTCAGGTATATAGGCTAAAAGTTTAGAACAATCTCTTATGCAAAGTACTTTTACTCCACCCAAGACACAATGAAACAGAATGCTACTAAGTAGACACAATTGTGGGGGTGGAAGCATTATTAATCATAGGAATAATTTACTGCTTGTACTCATTTACTGCAGTTTCAAACTATTTTCTACGCATTGTGAGAATTATAATCAAGTACTGCGTTTCAGTGATGGGAGCACATACAGGTTTCATGTCCTGTGATTGAGATATATTTCCTGTTTCACCTGAGACATCACTCTTCAGTCACTTTCAACTACATAAAAGATTCCCACTCTTAACTTGAACTAACTTGGCAATAAATGCAGATTTTTACATACATTACTAGAAAAAGACAATAATTTGATGAAAGTTCAGATTGACAAGAGCAATGCAACTGCTGAAAACGTGTATGGCTATGCTGGGTCGCAATGTGACGAGCATTCTTAGCTACTTGATGAGAAAAGATTAAGCAGCTGTCTTATTTCACTCAGGTCAATACTGAAATGCACTGAAAAAACAGGTCTCATCACTTGTATCATTCAATCACGACTTTAACAGATGCAGCTACTATCACAGTGCAGTGAAGGTGTGTTGATATGTTTGCCTAGCATTTAGTCATCATCTCCACTGGTCAGGAAGCCATAGATGAAACCCACAGCACGTTGTCGATCATTCTGGGTTTGCCTCCCAACTAAGTTTGGTGGTGGCCTCAAAAGAAGACTTGCAAAGAGGGTAGCTGTGGATTACAGAAAAATAGATCATTATATAACATCTTTTAATATGGGGTTTTAATATGGTTTTCTTCAGTTGGCCTGAAAGTTTCTACCTTCATTTCCTGGAACAATAACCCTTGCTGGGGTTTGGTTCTCTAACCGTGTGGTTGATGCTACTTGAACAGTTGACGAAGTCAAAATGTGCCTTTGGGGTTTGATGCTATTATACTTTCATGCTAAATATTACTATACATGGTAATCACACATATACCTGGTTCTGATCTTAAATTAGTCAAATTTATCTTCATATGTTAATGCCCATATGCTTTCAATTATCTCTCATTATATTGTACAGTCTAGTGTAGTTTATTTTGTTTTAATTCCACCCACACTGTGCTACTTGTGCTCAGTAAAGTGGAGCTCTGTGGCATATTTGCAAGATGGTTCCACGGTCTGGAAACCCTTGTGCAACAGTCCGATAGTTGCTGGCAATCATCTAAGCAGTCATTTTTCACGTGTGAACTTTGTTAGAGTGCCTTTGAGAAAAAGGGATGTTATTAGAGCTACATCCTTACATTCAGTTTATAAACACAATACAAACAGGAAAACATCGAGTGAAACCACTAACAAGAAAAGCAAAATGAAGTGATGCTCAAAATAAAGAAATTGTTGGAAATATTGAATTCAGGCAACATCCGTGGGGAAATAACATTTCAAGATCAGCTGAACTATCAGTATTTTTTTAAAATCAAGTGAAGCTAATTGTATTAAGAACAAATGAACAATATCCAAAATCATTCATAATTAACAAATTATACTTCAAGGCAGGCACGACTGTGTTCTATGTAGTGTGGCAAGATGACCAATCAGTTCTTTTTTGGAACATCTGGGCATTTGCCCCAAAGATAATTTTTACTTAAGCTTGATTTAAGTATTGATATAAAGCCAGACAGAAGATAAGTAAAATTATCTGAAGGTGCAGTATGTTTTAAAAGCTGAAGTCACTGACACATTAAGGGCTTGAATGACAATGACTTCTCCAAAAGAAAATATTGCTTAGCAAATGCTAGCCATGACTCATGGATAGTATTCTTGCCTCAGAGTTAGAAGATTGAGAGTGAAAATCCAATTTCAGACTTGGGCACAAAAATCAAAGCTGACACCCTAGTAGCTGTATAAATCTTTAGTTAGTCCACACTTGGACTACTGCATGATTTGGAGTGGGTGCAGAGAAGGTTTACTAGGATGTTGCCTGGTCTGGAGGGTTTTAGTTATGAGGAGAAGTCGGATAAACTCGGATTGTTTCACTGGAAAGACAGGCTACAGGATGACCTGATAGAGGTCTACAAGATTATAAGGGGCATAGATAGGGTGGATAGGCTTTTTTCCAGGTTAGAAAAGTCACCTACAAGAGGGCACAGGCTCAAGGCGAGAGGGGGAAAGTTTAGAGGAGAAGTGTGGGGAAAATTTTTCACATAGAGGGTGGCGAGTGCTCGGAACACTGCCAATGGAGGTGCGGAAGCAGGCACGTTAGCAACGTTTAAGACATATCTTGATAGGTACATTAACAGGAAGCAAACAGAGGGATAGAAAGCTGTAAGCAGTGATCTAAATAAAGACTAGGAATCGGCATAGGCTTGGTAGGCCAAAGCACCTTTTCCTGTGCTGTATTGTTCTTTGTTCTTTAATACCTAGAGATCTCTATTGTGTTTAAGATGCTAATGTTTGGATGGCACATTAAATCAAAACCCTCCTGCTGTCTCAGGTGGATGCGATAGATCCTATAACACTTTTTCAAAAAACAGGAAGTTATTTCTCTAAAATGTCCTGAGCAAACCACACAGGTTAAGTGGTAATAAGGGACGCACAATAAATGCTGGCTTAGCCAGCAATGTTCACATCCTATAAATAAATTTTTCCTAAAAAGATACTTCTAGATAGCAGTTTTGCAAGATGCTGATTTTATATTCATTCAGTATCCAATGACAAGTGGCTAGTTTGTCTAGCAGTTCAACTAGTTAACTTTTGTAGGAGGATCAGAAATCAAATCTTGGTCTTACTGTCCATCATAGAAAGGAGGACATTGCCATGGAAAATCTGATAAAGGAGCAATGTTTAGAGAAAGAAAATCTGTTCTCAAGTATGTGACTGACTAGATTTAGAAGAACGCTGATCAGAAAAACTCCCTTTAGTTAAGCATCATTGTACGGCATTCAGTATTTTCAGTCTACTGCTAAAAGTTCTTAATTTAAATTGTTGAATTTAAATTTAAATTACTGATTGCAATTATTAGTATGTTCATTATTAATTTGTAGGAAATGAAAAAAAATCAGTTTGCTAATTTATACTTGGATTTGTCTCTCAACGAATACTTAAGATATACAAGTTCACCCATGGGAGATCTGCTGCATCAGAGAAAAAAAATTACCAACTGTTAATCCATTTTAATAATGTTGGTTGAGCAATAAACACCAGCCAAGATTTAAGGAGAACTCCCTGGGTGTCAAAAAGAAAGTTCCACATTCTGTTCTTTGCATCCAACTGAACAGGCAAACGGGACTTCTGTTTACTGTTGCATTTGCCAGTACTTGTTAGTACAGTGAAGTGCCAAGCAAGGTTACATGGTCAATTCCTTAAGTGTGAACTGAAGCTTTAGCTTCATCTTCCTGGAGGTAAGAGTGTCACCATAGTAGCAACTAATTTTGTTTCTTAAAAAAAAAAGTACAACAGTTCCTCCAGTTCAAGGCATTATTTTGAAGACCAGATTTTAACAAGTGTTGGCAGAAAACAGGCTATATAGCACACTGGTCACCCACAAGACCTTGCCTGCTTTCTATTACTGTCAAAGTTAAAATCACGTCTCAAGTTTCCATATTATGACATTACATAGACTTGCAAAGTTGTTTTAGATCAACAATGCAAAGTTAATTACAGAACTGGCTTAATGGAGACCTTCCAAGTCCTATCTCAAATTGGCGTTAATAGATGTTTTGAACTAATGAATTGTTATTACAGCTGAAATGCATGAAAGGAAGTTGCATAAATCTTTTCATGGAACATAAACATTCTCAGTCTTGTTTAAATCTTATTTAATGATAACAATATCTGAGTAAACAACTAAATTCAGCAATCTCACTCAGAGGCTCAGAGACATAGTGCTGTTGAGAATAATACCCATAGGGCCAAAAGGTAAAAGGAGTAAGTAAAGCATCTAAGTAAAGCTGCCATGATATTTGACCTATGCTATCAACAGGTTAAAAAAAAGTGTTTCATTTTTTCTTACCTAACATCTTGGCATCAAGCTTGTTCTCTTCACTATGCTTCAACAATTCCCGTAGAAATGCCATTAAGTACTTGAACACATTTCTGTGACAGCGAGGCAACTGCGATATTAACTGGAGAAAAAGAGCAAGTATTTATGATAAAGCAAACATGTTCAAAATCATAAATACAATAAAATTATGTTAAATATTCAACATGGTATGGTGTAGTGCAAAACACTATAACACAAAATAAAAAGTCAGATTTTAATAATGCTGAAATACCTTTTTCATTTCATGGTGAATAAAGTGCTGTTCAACAAGACTGTACACTCCAATTATTACCCACTAAATCTCATTTGTAGGCATCTGTGATATAAATAAATTTATCCTAAATCTGTATCAGCTCAGGACTAATATACGTTTGCATACTGTTTAAGATCATCAGCAACTTTAAGATATCTTTAATATGATAAGTAGTCTTAAAATACTCAACAATTTGGTGTCAGGATGGTGTTCTACTGTGTGACAATTCTATTATTCTGTGAGCAATAGGAAATGGACAAAGGTGTGCATGAGGAAGATTTTGAAGGGGAGGATGGGGTATTTAGGAGAACAAATGTAATGACTGGGGACAAGATGGTCAAAAGATTCTGATACCACTAGTGAGGGATGATTCACAGAGGATGCAGGATGGGACATACATTTGGTGAGGTAGGTGCAGCTTGACCATGGGAGATTTTAGGAAAAAACGATATGGATTTTGAAGTTATTGAGATGACCGAAGAGAATTCAACAGAGGTTGGCAAGGATAGGGTTGAGAGTTGAATGAGATGTTGTATAAGAGGTGTGCAAAATGAGGCATAGATGTAAGTGCTTACAGTAATTCTGTTGAAAGAGCCAGGCTAGTCATGTGTTGCTCTTTAAAAGTAAAGAATTTTGTCAAGTAGGAACCCGGGATTTTGGGTGTTTTTGGTATTTATGCAAGCTGAGTTACTTATCATGAAAAGCTACAATCCTATGAGGAGTTCTTGGCAACACAAACATTATGTCTGCATGGCAGCGATGTGAATCAGGAATAATTCTTCCCTATTTCATAAACCATATGAATGTTGAGAAAGGAAGGTGTCATTAGAAACTCAACATGAAATCCAAAACAAAGTGTCACCTTTAATTATAAAAAGGAATTTCTGAGAGGAAACCTGACACAGTGAATGAGAGAAATCTTATTGACACTTTCCAGCAGAGAGCTTTTGACAACGTAAATTCACAAGATTAACATTTGTAGCATCAGTAGAAAGTTAAAACTCTGGATTGGAATTGCTGAGAATCCATCACCAAAAAGCTGCAGTAAACAGATGCAGTTCAGCTCAGAGAGATGCTAACCGTAGTATCCCAATGGAATCAGTCCTAATCCTGTGACTCTTCAGAGTGTTTTTTAGAGATGGAGTATAGGAGAGTCAGGAGTACAGCAGATAAATTTGCAGATAACAACATTGAGAAATGGTTAAGAGAACAGAAACGTGATCAAATCCAAAAAGATTTGGTTGTGCTGTGTGACTGTATCTTACATTAAAATATAAGGATTAGGTTTAGATAAATATAGTGCCATACATCTTGGTATGTTCCGCATAGCATGCATGTATCATTTGCTGGGGTCAGAACTGAATGAATTCAAGAAAATAAAATTGTGCTATTGTGTACAGATCACAGAGGGATCATCATAAATGTGAACAAATTGTACCTAAAGCTGATAAAGGTAGGGTTATATTAATAGAACTGTTCAGTAGAAATCAAAGGATCTTATTTTGACATTGTATAGTTCAGTGGTCAGATCATACCTTGCATATTATCAGAGATAGTAGGAACTGCAGATGCTGGAGAATCCGAGACAACAAGGTGCAGGGCTGGATGAACACAGCAGGCCAAGCAGCATCATAGGAGCAGA